TGACCCATATGCATGGCAATTGAAATTCAAGAAATAAAATTCTTTTGGTACAGGTTCTGCCAGAATTTCACGGTGAAAGTCTTGACATGCAGATCTCTGTGATCAAGAGCCAAGGCATCACGTTCAGCAATGGGCTTACTTCTAGGTACCCAAGCACGGTCTGCTAACTTCTGCAGTTCCCTGCAGAGGGCAATTGATGCAGAAACCATCGTTTAGAGAGATTATATAAGACAATGCTTTACAGTGACAAAGAAAATGTTTAAATAAATCCTGATTGACATGCACAAATAACCAAACTCAATATTCCAGGTTTTCCCAACTTCCTGATAAAGTTTCTTATCGGCAGGTACTCTATGAGCCCCTTCCAACTACATGGAGTCCACGACGAGAAAAAAATGCTGCCAGATCTTGTCCCAACCTCACACAGTTTACTGTCTGAGTCCACTGTTGCCATCTTTTCATTGAGGGTCTTATTTTTCTCACTGACCCGCTACCAAGCATGAAGTCCTCACCAGAGACCGGGCTCTCCTGAAAACAAACATGGCCACGAGATCAAGCTTCACTATCCTTGCTCTAAGGGGCTGTAAGCCAAGTATTTCAGTCACTTTTCTCTTTTTCTTGTTTTCTCCCAAGTGAAACAGAAAAGGGTTCAATGGTGACAAACACATCGGCTATCTATGGTTGTTTTCCTGCCATTTGCTAACTACAAGAACCAGAAACCCTGACTTCCAAAGTAATCCTAGAAAAGCTACAGAACGCAACTAGTTAAATAATGGGGATTCACAAACTGCTCTCATGAAGAGACTATAAACTGGTTTTGAAAATCCATTCACTTAGTCTTCTCTAGAATTCAAGTAAAATGTACTAACTATTCATGGCAACTTTTTAAATCTCTGTATATAGTATGCATCAATTCCAAAGGGCTCAAATGGCTTCATACATTTCTAGACTGTCCATTTAAACCAGTAGAGGCAATATTTATATAGAGGAGAAACCTATTTCCATTAAAGCATAGTTATAATTGGTAGGGGGGGAAAATTAGCTGAAAACTTGGTTTTATCTTTTTTTCTCCAAAAACATATAATCTGTTGAGTTAAAGGGGCTAGAATCAAGAGACATTTCTTTTAAAATGGCTCACAACTGGGGCAATTTTGTCGACACCTCGCCCTCCTGCATCCCAAACTATCTGGAGCCAGGTTGGGTTGTCACAACTGGGAGGGGGTCTTGTGGGTATGAGTCACTGATAACCTCCAATGCAAGAATCACCCCTGAAAACAAATAACTGTCCAGTCTCAATGTCAATGACACTGAGGTAGATAAAGCCTTATCTAAACAAGTGAACATGCTTTTTTCCCTCGTAAAGTCCACATTTTGGAGAAAAGCCTGGATCTTCTAAAACATGGAACCAGGAGTTTATTTCCATGCCTTTTACAAGATTCTTGGTTTATGAGCAAGTAGTGATTCCAAACACGTTTGCATAACTATTAAGTATTTAGACTACAATTATAGTAAACAAACACACTGCTGTGCTTGCCTCAGTAAACTGTTGTGTTTTATCAAGTTTAAAAGAATAGGGCTGGGAAACCGTCAATAGCTTTCCATATCCTGGGACTATTGGAGACTCACGAAACACAGGGCTACCATGCTGGACCAGTGCTGGAGAACTGCGGGGCACCCGCCCGCCCGCCGTCTACAGTAACACCGCATAAGGCACATCAACCTTTCTGACAATCACCAAGTAATTCCACAACCCCCTAAACCCAGGACGTATTTCAATTCAAAGAATATAAAGGCTTTTCTCTTCTAAGAACCTAGTATAATTCAATTTGCCAAACTCACCATGAATTAAAGAGGTGACGTTAGTAAGACACGAATGGAAATCCAACTACTAAGAATAAATTCGAAATCTGACGGGCACACCGATACTAGAAGGGAGAATCAAATCAAATCAAATCATGTGCATTCCCACTCAGTAATTTTACTTCAAGTTGGCTCTTCCGCCAGCTTTTATCTTTAAGGGAATACAATCCCATTTGGATTTAAAGTTAACTTTATAAATGAAAAAGACCAAAACATATTGCTGAAAAAAATTAAAGTACATAAAGTACAGGTGTTCACAAAGTCTTGTGTTTCAATTACTAATCAGAAAATAAGAAACTTACTGTTTTGAAAAGGAGAAATGCAATTTCAGTTCGTATTTTCTTAAGAAAATTACCATCAGGTGAACTTCTGGCATCCATTACCAAACACTTTATCAGTGTTTCATTTTTGCAACCGAAAATTATCAAAGTAATTTAGCTGGAGAAATCAGTTAAAAACAGAATTTTTTTCAAACAGTAAGTAAACTTACTGTACTGTCAACGTTTCATTAAAGATTAAGCAAGATTTTCAATGAGGTATATATCTGAACATTTTAAAAATTAAGATTCAATTTCAGACAGATATAGAACCCAAATTATTACTTGCTGAACATATTAAGCTTTTAAATAAATATCAAAACATTTATTAACCATAGGTTCTATAGATCAGTAATTTTAGTAATTTATATCTTTATTAAAATTTCACTTGGGAAGAAAATATCACTTCTAATTCTTCATGGGTTAAGTGTTGCTATATACTGTCATATGGTCACATACTGCTTAAAAGGTTTAATAAACTCATTAATTTCAGTTAACTCAATTTTTCACTGGCAGAGGATTTTGCCTATTTCATCTTTTCAACAGTAATCATACTCAAATGAAGTCTGAGATTGGTCTAGTTATAAAGATATGAGAACATTTCCTAGAACCAGCTAATTAGACATGCCTTTGTGTTATATATTTTTTTTTTTTTACCATTGGCCTGGTAAAAGACTAGAAAAAAAATATTTACTGTCACATAAAATCATTTTGACAGCCAAATTGTGGTGAAGTCACCATATGCCATTTTTTAAGAGTTCTCTTATTCCCACAGGTCAAGTACCTTGCAAATTCAATATGCAAGCAGCATATCAAAAATGTACTACTGATACCTCGACAAGTCATTTTTTAGATTAGGTCCTGCCTTACCAATTTTCTTTCTGCTGTAATTTCATTTCATACATCAACCTAACCTCAAAACACAACTGTATCTTAAACTTTCCTTTAAAAGATATCACGGAAGGCACATCTAGCTATTAAACTCTCCTTATGAAAGACAGGGAACAGTAGCTTCCTACTATTAACTTAGTGGTAAATCACTGAGCAGAACGTCAGTGAAGCAGGAGTGACAGTCCACGGCTGGATCGCATACCACCACTTCCAGCCCAGTATCTGGATGACAGCCCTGCTAGGGATTAACTAATCAGGAAGATTCAGCATTTAGATTCAGAGCAATCCCTTCTTGTTACTACTTTGACTATATATGTGTATACACAATAAAACCTGATCTACTAGTAGAGAGGGCCGTTTTTATATCAAAAGATAGTATTTTAGTCAGTTGAAAATCGAGCTGGCTTGTAAGACTCAGCAAAACTAAAATAGAAGCACCTTTGTTGTTAAACAAAACAAAACAAAAATCCTATACATGAAAAAAAATTTGGATTTAACTTTGGACAATTAACACAACATTGCATGTCAAGCTTCTATTCGTCCTAGAGCCTGCAGTATTGTAATTTATTGTGAAACAATGTAACCAAATATTTAAATATATCCACAACATCTATTTCCACGGTATATGCATAGTACATTAATACACTAACATCTCAAAATAAATCTCTATTACAGCTGTATGCAAATGATGGCATTAGAGTATCACTGCCATATTTGGAAATGGCACCAACTTAATGTAGGGAGGGGTCCATGTCCATTTACTAGTCAAAAGCCTCAGTGATACCAAATTTCTTATGCATTATCATCTGAACATTTGAAATCAAGCTATTACTCTAATAACCACTGTTACCGATTAAAATCACTGCATATCCAGATGTTAAAGCAGGTAACAGAGCAGGAAAAGTATTTCCAATTCACAGTTTCAAAAATAAGGGTGCAGTTTTTCAATATCTGATTGCCTCAAATTGGTCACTCGATTTAACAGCTGCCTCCTTCAAACATGTAAACTATGTTTGCACAGCATTAGATATCTCTTATTCTCGGAGCGCCACAAATTGGAAGAAGCTACAATGTGAAATGAACTCAGTGAAGGTTATGTTGAAATAAAAACGTAGCTAAAATATTAAAAAGTACTGCAAAGCTTTGATTGCCCCCAGCACAGAGCCTTTACCAGGAAAAGGAGTCAACACCCACCTAATGCAATATGTAAATTAGCTCTACAAGAGAAAGTGGGGAAAATGTGCCTCAACTAAAAGGGCAATGGTCTTAAAAACCAGTAAATAAATTGGTGGTAGCTGACTTTAGAATTCTCCTCAAATTAAAATCCAAACGCACACACAGTATTTGTATCCTCAGATAAGATCCAAAGAGAATGAAAGAAAAACCTGACTTTAAGAATAAAGGTGTATATACACACACACATACACACACACACACAAATGGGTAACTGAGAAAAAACCGAGCACTTAAATATCCCAAGTTTAGATGTGTAAGAAAATTTATAATAGAAAAAAGTGGCAAATTGCTATTGTTACTTGATTTGCTGAAAACATCTGCAAAGTGTCAAAATTTACTCCCTTTTTCTCCAGATATGTGTTTTCTGTGCAAAAATAAATATCTGAAAATTGCACTAATACAATACTTATTTTAACTTTTGTATTATGAATAATCTGCACATGCTGCTTTACAGACAATATATATTTATAAACTTGCTCATGCAAAATTAGTGTGCCCAACAGGGATATTCTTAACCCCATACTTAAAAACTGATACATTATTGTTTTTTTAAACTGCCAACCTCTGAAATGTTTTCTAGTCAGCCAACAATCAACTTATCTTGCCAAAAAACATTATACGAGAAAGAGATGGTTTAAGCATTGCAGGGTTTTTGATTTTTAAAATATAAGATTTATAAAAGAAAGAAATTCGTGGTCACAAAATTTCAACATTTTAATCCTAAATGTTTGTTACAGGGTAAATAGAGAGTGGACCTTATCTCCATAGTCCATAAATCTTAACTTTTAGTTTCCATTTAAAATGTCCTAAACCACTAAAACATTAGTGGTTTTACAACCTCTGGCTTATGGAAATACGTGTTTCTGAAATAAATGCTACAAAAGCAACAATGGAAGAAAGCCAAACTGTCTTCATGAAGGGGGGCAAATGGAACATTTTGAAGTCTTTAGACACTTCTCTTTCCATCTCTTATGATTAACCTGTCAATTCAGTGCATCACAGGGTCAATGTAATGGTCCCCGCATTGAACAAACATTTAACTAGTGTCCATTGACTCCAAATTAGTGGATGACGAATCTTTTTGGATACTTTCAAAGATGGCCGCCAGCTCTGGGTTAGAGCTGATCTGCGATTGGAATTCGCTCATCAAAGGGCTCTTCTCTGCTTCTGGAATGGTCAGCAGTGCTGCTACTGCCCTCATGGCAGACCGCTTTAGTTCATCTTGCTTCTCAAACTCCTGCTTCACCGAGTTGGCCTTAACCTGCAATGTGAAGTCGCTTTAGATGATGTGCCACAGAAAGCTCTGCCACAACAAATGTAAACATATGCAATCTCTCAATAGCGAATAAAGTATAGCAATTCTAGGCTGGCTCCCAAAGCACATTACATTCCAAGCATACTATTTTTTTGAAAAAAATAGTGGCTTTCCTTTTCCTTTCAAGGGAATTTACACAAAGACCCCCTATACAAAAAGAAAATCGAGAGCCAACATGGTTAAAACAAGAGTAGAATCCAGTCTTATCTGCTTAACATACCAGACTCTAGCTCTTGCCAAAAACTTCTCCTTTAGAAACTGTTTATTTAGTGTTCCTCAAAACGACCATTCATTGACACCTGAGGTCTCTGTGTCTAATTATTCTTACACACAAAGCTTTGTTCACCTTTTAAAAGAATAAGCAAATAAATCCACTCCTCCCCAAAAGTCTAATTCACTGTTATCACTCTCACAAAAATTCTGCTAACCGTTAACTAGAATGAAAGACACTTCCTCTTTTGTGACCCAAACATTCTTTACTCTACATCAGTATGTTAAAGCATGTCATATTGTTACAGCAAAAATCAAAAACAGTTCAGAATAGCATTTAACAGTGCTTAGTTTCAGAAAACATTCCTATTACTAGGTCTGAATAACTATAGTACAGAATTAAGTAGGAATCTTGACTATACCATACTCTACCCTAAGTTGATGCTACAGTATCAATGATTACCTTAGTTGTACATGTGGCACGTAGTGGCTCAACAAGTCGGTCCAACCTCTGCAGTACTGCACTTGGACAGAGGGTAGAGAGTCTTACCAACATTAAAAATGTTAGCATCTATTAGGAATATTAAAAACAAAATTAGACTTTGCGTTATTTCCTAAAAACAAGGTGCAAATTCTAACAAACATGGCTAGTATGCACACTGAAGCTTCACTTTAATGGACTCGCCACTCTGAATCACAGAGACGACTCAATGAATCTGAGGTATAAGCACTGGCAAGGCTGCATCTCTAATGCAATCCCTGAGTACAGAGCTAGAAAAGTGCGTCAGTCTTGAATGCACATGAGAATCACCTGGGGAGCTTTAGAAACATCCTCAGATGTTGATTTAGAAATGGATGGGCTCACAGATTCAGTAAGTTTTAGTAACCCCCCTTGGATAATTCTCATGTGTGCCAGAGCTATCTATGAGAAGCACTAGGGGAAGTTTTCACTCAAATTTTCCTGAAAGAAATGGCTGGTTATTCAGATTAACCCACATAAAAAACCAAATTAACTTGTAATCATTGTCCCCTTCAACTGAAAACTCACAGGAGTCCCCTCATTAAATTCTAGAAAGGTCACTATGCAAGGAAACATACAAATTGGAATTTTGGTAGAAGGCCTTAAGTATTGCTCAATTAAAAATTTTGCCCTGCTCAGCCACATGTCCTAAATGTAAAAGTAGATATTTCTTATTTTCAAAATCACTCTTATAATATGCACATTTAAAATACACATAAGCACAAATAAAGCAGCTATGAGAAAAGTTCATGCTCTATGAAGACTGTTCTGCATACCGTATATACTTGCGTATAAGCCAAGTTTTTTATAGCACATTTTTAATGCAGTTTTTGGGGTAAAATTAGGTGCCTCAGTTGATATTCGGGTCGGCTTATACTCAAGTATATACGGTGTATCTGAAGAGTTTTTCATAACTTGCTTTTAGAAAACTCAACATTAAACTCAGTATATTTGCATAAGAAAAGAACACTCATTCATTCCAATAAACAATACACATGAAGTTACTGGTCATTAGAACAGAGACAAGACAGTCCACAAGAATCCTGAACCAAGACAATGAATGCTGACCCACCGAGACACACTTTCAACAGTACTCATTACTAGGATGCTTCAAACGTTCATAGGGAAATGGAATCAATAAAGCAATTTTCATACTACTGGAGAGGCCCTCTGAGATAATCAACTTGAAGACAAATATACCTGGAACAAAAAAATGTTTTCTCCAGGTCATGTGTCATAGAACACTGGAAAACTGAGCCCTGGATCTTCAAGGTGCACAGTATGCTCCAAAGGCCATACCCTGGTGGAACGTGGAAACCCTCTTAGATGAACTGGACTCTACCTCAAACACACCTGTAAACTGAGGACTTAAGACTGAAACTACATGGTGTGTGAACAAGCAGAATACGCTACACCAAGAGTAGTGAACTATCAGTAGACTGACTAACATTTACTTATTACTTCAAGGCCCGACTTGCTATAATTAGCTATGTATTATTCTGGCAGACCATGTCTCACATTAACAGTGAATTGCCTGAAGACCAACTCCCACTGTTTATGTAAAGTGTCCAGTCACGCAAGGATTTATTCTGTACTAGTCAATAATCTATGTATTGCAATTTGCAGTAAGCCTACATTTGTTTATTCTCCCTTTCTTTCTTAAGTGTTTTTTTTTAAATTATTGCCATGGGCTAATCAATGACACTGTAAGGAGCTCCGTATGTTCCAGGGAAATGACCAAGAAGATTCTTCTCTACCATAAAATAACAAAGATGTCTTTAAGGTTAACCAAAGGCAGTTAAACATCAGATTCAGGAATGGATTTGGGGCTCCAACTTCATCCTAGCTAAAATCTAAGAGCAACTAGTTCTTATGACATGGTCCTGCTCAATACTCATCCTCATGAAGGAAACAGGGAAGATAGGGGTGCTAGAGAAAAGTGTAGAGAAGCAATTAAATGGTGCATTAAAGAATAAAAACATTATTAAAGAACAGCATCTGGGGTCTTAAAGGCTTGTTTTCAAACAAGCAACCACCTGGGTGAGATGTCAACGTGTCCACATGGAAGCACAACATCTGAGCTCCAAGGACTAGTATCAGAGACTGCAATGTGAGATTCTGGTGTGCAGGAGGATATGTATTTTGGAAGCCCAAAGTAACATTTGCAGGATCTACACAGGGAATAAGCCTTTGCTGATTCCCCTCTAATCTTAATTGAGGGATGGGAATAACCTGGTTATCAGACAGAGTATTCCATAGATGACTATAGATTAAAACAATAACTTTGACTTGAATGATAAAAACGTCATCTGATCTCCCCTTTGATACACTTTAAGCTTGATCGGGCTTTAAATATTTTTTTGTGGATTTTTTCCATATTGGGGTTTATCTCTGTTGTATATTGACATTGTCGGTAGCCTCCTTGACTGTTATGTGTTTTTCAATGTTTTACAGTAAATGAAACCCAGGATGGGCAAATCTATAGAGACAATCACTGGAATTAGGGCCCCTGGGCAGGGGAAGGGTACAAGAAGGAACTGACTGTGGTAGCAACTGTACAACAATGTCAGATGTAACTGAACTGGGTGGTATTTTGTATGGATTACGCCAAATAAAATGGTCTGAAAGAAAAAAAAAGTCTTCTCCTCCATCCAGTTAAACGTGACTTCTTCCAATGAAAATGTTTTGGGATTTTTTTTTTCTGTAGATCAAGTGTTGCTACACTACTGTACTATTAACTTTTCTATGCTGCCCAGGTAGTATTACAGTGATCTACTTCGGAAAGGTCTTAGGCATTGAACACGCTAGGGAGCAGTTTTCACAGACATCAGGGTTGCCATGAGCTGGCATCAATTCAACAGCCAACTGGTTTATTACCTGTATACATTTTAGCTTACATCACAGTTACCAAAATCATAAGACAACCTAATTTTTCTCACTTATGTGTAAATAAATTATAATTTAGTTATGTGTAAGTAAATTAAAGTCACTACAGAAACGTAAACTCTTCCTTTAAAGCATCGTGTGAAAAGACATATCTTACCTTAATATCATAATGATCCTTCAAACCATCTTCAACATGATTTAGAAATTCAAAGATATCGAGCCTATCAAGACAACTGTCTAGAAGGGTGTACATACACTCAAAAGCGGCCTTCCTGATATCCAGGCCATCATCCACGGTGTGTTTAAATGGACCCATTTCTACCTGTTAAAAAAGAAAGGGTATGTGAGTTTGCATTTTTAAAAGATGCAAACCAAAATGAAGAAAAGAATTAAGAACGATTGTTTAAAGGTTGTAGAATTTTCTAATAATATGAAGTGATGAAAATGCTTTAGAAATAAGATAGTGATTAGTTGCAAAATTATGGATGTAATTAATTTCAATTTGATGGACTATGTGTTTTATTACAACAAAAAAGTTTAAAGGTCAAAGATAAGGTTAAATAAGCTGTGTAATCTAAACCACATACCTCTCTTATAAGTTCCTTTCTAACTTTTGTCTCATTGTAAAGATGTGGAAGAACGGTATCTAAAAGATCTCTTATTAATGATGGTTTGTTATGGGCAGCTGAGTTGAATGTCACCAAGGCAACTCTTCTTACATTCAAATCTGGGTCTTCCAATGTTTTAAGGAAATCACCTGAAAGATTGTCAGAGAAGTAACAGTTATGATAGTTTTAAAATATAATATACGGTACATATTTTTTCTAATAGTTAAGTATTGTTATTGTTCTTCAATGAAAGCCATGGCAAAACTGAAGAAATATTACATGAATCAATGTTATTTCTTGCAGCAGTAATAAAACTATCATTTCTGGAATGGCATAATTATTAATTGATAACCTGCTCTCACTATAATGCAAAGGGGTTGGAACAAAAGTCCACAATGCCTTTTATAGATGATAGTGAGTCAAGCTAATCTTGTTAACGATGGGCCAGTTACTTTAGTCATGAGCCGGTTCGTGGTCTATAAAATGAGGTGATAAACCTTACAGGCATATTTAATAAAACAAACAGTATTGTTGAACAATGTCTAGAACTTGCCTATTACTTACATGGAGCTATTATTTACCATTACGTGGTCTCAACATCACCACCAGCAACACTTTAAAATATATGGGGGAAAAGGGAGAGATGTCAGAAGACTTGGCTTTTTAAAATGATGAAGCTTTAGGTTCCAGGTACCATAAGTTAGTAAACTCCAGGTAGATGCTCAGAAGGTCTACATTAAAGCAATAAAGTTTCGGAGATAATTAAATGTGTCCAGACTCATATCGTCGACCCTACAGGACAGGGTAGAACTGCCCCTGTGAGTTCCTGAGAGTGTAACTTTTTACGAAAGTAAGGAGTCCATCTTTCTCCTTCAGTGGCTGGTGGTTTCAAATTGCTGACCCTGCATTTCACAGGCCAACACATAACCAATATGCCACCAGTGCTACTAGGTTTGTAGTAAAGTGGTTGTTAATTCCTTGACCCCAGAATGCTACCTAACTAGTGGTGAATGTCAGTCACAGACCCTGAATTAGATCAAAATAACTACCTGCTTGATTAACAATAGCAATGATGCACTTTGGTGGACTGATGTCACCCAGGAATGAGGTATCTAAGACCTGGAATAGGCCTTTGTCTCAGTTTAAAGAGAACTAAAAATGTACCTTACTGTACCAAAGCAAAAAACTAGGTGGGGAAAAAGGGGGATCTTCTCCAATACATGTTTGTGTTCTTACATGTTTACGTATTAGTAATTACTTCTGGGTCACTGCAAAAGCCCTCTATTTGGGCCGGCGTGCCCTTTATTGTGAACTGGCAATCCCCTTCCCTCATTCCTTTACATGTGCCACCACCACTCCCCTCCCCTTCCTGAACACTGCAAATAGCACGCACAGTGCCGCTCCTCTGCCAGCCCTCCATTCCTCCCTGCTGACATGCCCTTTCCCCTAGTTGCAACGAGACCGAAAATGGAGTTCTGAGGATTTTTGAGTCTAACTAATGCCAGGATGTACGAAGGGTACCCCCCCAAAACTGGAATTTATCCTATGTATTTAAATTTTTTTTTCCTACAAACAACCTTATCACCTTCAAAGTACTCGCCATTACACTTAATACATTTGTCAAATCTGCAATTCCATTCTTGGAAACATTTTTCAAACTCATCTGTTTGGATGAGTGACAGCACCTTCCTCATGTTTTTTCTTCTTCACCTCTTCTACATCGTCAAATCACGGTCCTTTCATGTACCTCTTCATTCACAGAAACAAAAGCAAGTCGCACAGAATAGGGTCAGGTGAGTAAGGTGCATGGGGCAAGAGAGGCATGCTGGGTTTTGCCCAAAAAACTGGTGCACTGAGATAGCAGCATGAGCAGGTGCATTGTCGCAATTGGTCGCAAAGCCAGTCCCCCGCTTGCCACAAGTCAAGCTTTTTTTTGTCCCACACTGTTACATTATCTTTTCAGAACCTCTAAATAGGAAGCTTGACTAACAGTCTGACCTGGGGAACAAACCCCAAATGCACTACGAGTCGACATTTCATTCATTCATTCATGAAGTTGATGGATGTCCAGAACAAGGTTTGTCATCAATTGACATTTCATGTTTTTTGAAACAAGAAAACCACCTGTACACTTGAGTTTTCCCATAGGGCTGTCAGTTTAAGTTGTGTTCATCATTACAACAGTTTCTGTGGTATTTTTCCCGAGCAGGAAACAAAATTTCATAGTCACATGCTTTTCTCTGAAATCGGTCATCACAAAAAGTTGAGGTTCAAGTGAAACTGCTTTTATGAAAAACTTCACTGTGACAGCGAAAATCTTCCCAGGTGACAGCACTGGGTGCACTAACTCAAGAGAAAAGTTTTTCAATGCTCACCTAGTTGGAAAAACACATACTGTGAAAACTTCGCCCAGCGGATTTTTTGCTGGCTCTTTTGGGGGGTTGGTGGTACCCCCTCACATTTAACCAGTGACGGAAACTCTAAAATACAGGGACGCTATAAAATCTTAGAAACCCTAAAAGCCCATTCTTATCTGTACTGAAACAGTTATTGGTGGTCATTCTGGTCTATCTCCTCTTGGTCCTTCTCAAATTACTCTACCCAACAGTACCTACAAGTTGTTTCCAACTTACAGATGTTCCTGAAGATCCCCTTTGGGAAGTGGAAGATGTTAAGTACAACAATAAAGAATATAATAACAGCTTGAATGAAATTCACTTACATCTAAGAGGAAACTTTAGGCCAGTTTAATGGATCAATCATATTTTCTCTATTTACTAGTTATTTTAGGTCACTCTCAACACACACACATTACCAAATAGAGTTGATTCAAAAGTGAAGACTATTAAACATAGTGAAAGATAACATTTTTAGAGATTTCAAATTTTAAAAAAAGGTGGGGAGGAGGGACCAAAGTCAACAAAATGAATTTCAATTGTGTACATACAGTAGCAAAGAGTCCTGGTAATGATATCATTAAGTGTCGGACTGCTAACAGCAAGATTAGAGATTCACACCAACTACTGGCTCCAGTATAGATTTAAAGTCTCAGAAACTCTTGATTAAGTCCCTATAAATTGATGGCAGTGGGCCTGATTTGGGGGATTATACTTGGAAGCAGCAGTCATGAAATCAAATGTCATATTGTCTTGGGCATATTTGCTTTAAAAGACCACTTTAAACAAAAATAACTTCCAACTCACAGTGACCCTAGAGGACAGGGTAGAACTGCCCCTGTGGGTTTCCAAAACTGCAAATTTTTACTAAAAAGAGAAAGACTCTTGATGAAATGGACGTACACAGCGATGACAACAGCAGATCAAGCATAACAATTGTGAAGATGGTGTAAGACCGGGCAGTGGCTTGTTCTGCTGTACATAGGGTTGTTATGAATCAAAACCCATTTGACAGTACTAATAACAAATCGTTATGTTATTATAGATGTGACAAAGAGCCTCATCTGTCTCTCACGGGTTTGAACTGCTGACCCTGTGGCTGGCAGTCTAATGCATAAACCACTACGCTACCAGGGTTAGAAGGCATTAAAGAGGTATAATGTCATTTTGAGGGCTAAGATCCAACTGATCCAAACCATGGCATTTCCAAACACCTCATATGCCTGGGTATAGTAAGGAAGACTGCAGAAGAATTGATAAATATGAATTATGGTGTTGAGGAAGAATATTAAATATAATTTAATATTAATTATTAATTAATGTTAATATTAATGTTAAACAATTCTGCCTCAGATGTAAAGCCACGATTCTCTTAAGCAGCCAAGATAACAAGACTTTGTCCCATGTACTTTGCACATATTATGAGAGTCCATAAGACTATCACGCTTGATCAAGTAGGTCAGAGAAAAAGAGAAAGTCCCTCAGTGAGACAGACTGACACAAAAGATGCCAACAAGGGGCTTAAATGGCAACAATTATGAGGAGGACCCGTGAGTAGATAGTACTTTGCTCAGCTAGAAGGAAGGTCACTGAGTTGGAACTGACTGTGCTGTACCTAACCACAAATGTAAAGAAGCCCTGGCAGCCCAGTGGTTGAACCAAAAGATCAGTGCTCCAAATCCACCAACTGCTCCCTGGTAGAAAGATTTAGCAGTCTACTGCCATAAAGCTTGAAACTTCAGAAACCTCATGGAGACATTCTACTCTGTCCTACAGTCATGGAGTCAAAATCAATTGGAAGGCAATGGGTGGTATACATGTAAAGACACATTCATACTTTAAGAAAATCTAATACAAAGGCACACGAAGGGGAACGCTTATTTAACAACAGTTTACATGGCAAGTGAAAACTAAAATGGTAGTTATATAATCTGGTGTCAATGAGAGGACTGAGAGTGAAGGGGTGGAGTCTAGTCTGTTAATCAGATCATAGCCAACGAGGTCTCTGTGTGGGCATGGCCCTCTCCTGAGAATTCTGGGAACTCCTGGATTTTCCTGGACATATTCTCTCTCGGCTCACTCCTTGGAAGATGCTCTACTGACAAGATACATGGCACTCACTGATAGAACCCATTCCCTGGGAACTGGTTCCCAAGCCACATGTGGCTCCCATGTCACTGGATCCAAAGACTTTCTACCCACTGGCCTGTGATCATCTTGCATTCGGTGTCATTGCATGTGTTTTGAGAGTCTGAAGGGGACGTTATAAATTGGTATCAGACACGTGGGCTAATACCGGACTTATGGCCTTGGACTGAACTGGATTTGGATGCTCTTTTAATGTACAATTACCCTTTTATAAAACTCTATCTACACGAATCTCCCTGGATTTGTTTCTCTAGTCTACCCAGAGTAACTCATAACATTTATGTAAGGAATCTTTATTTTGTTAAGAGCACATTATTTTCGTCTTCACAAGACCCAGCCTGCTCTTGGTAAACTTCACACTCAGAACAAAGCACAGAGAAATCAGGGTTTATAATAATACATCAGAATGAAGATAGTGAGGGGGAAGGGCTTTGGAAACAATGTTAAATAAAGACTATATGGTGGTAAAACTGAGGGACAGGAGGAGAATATAATGCAGCTAAATCATCCATTCTCATAATTACAGGTCTGGGAAGCTGCCTCTAGTGGGGGAAGATCCTCACGGTGAGGAGCTATAAATAAATCTTAATATACATTCTCATGACTGGACACAGTCCTTCCAATAACCCCCCCATAAAGGAACAATCATAAAGGAGCAACAATACAGATGAATCATTTCTGGGCCTGACTACTTCACTATGTCTGAGGTTATCAAAAGATAAGAGCAACTGGGTTCTATAGCCAAACCACTGTAACTGTAGCAACCCCCTGGTGAAGGCTCCCCGGTGGTGGGTTTGAGGTCAACTAGCACTAGGTCAAGTCAATGACTCATCTCATTGCTTGTTTATTATGCTACCCTTATATTACCCATTGACTATGTACAATGTTAGCTGTATGATGTGTAAACCCCATTATATATACCTATTGGAAAATATTCTTAGTCCTGACATGGGACGAGGAACCCCCGTGGCCTGCTGTCTCTAATATTTTCCACAATCCCAACTCGCTCCTGAGGGCCCATTCAAGTAATGGGGCTCCCACACCCCAACAACATTTGTAAATGAGAAAACCAGAAATACTTACGGTAGGAAAAAAAAAAGACGTATTGAGGCCTAAGATAGAGCTGACTTCTACCTCCAAAAGGACTTATAAAGACCCTTCTATTAAGGGAGACTTGAGACAGTGTCAGACATGACAAAATAATAATAATTTATCAATTATTAAGGGTTTGTGAGGAAGCGGGGTAAGGAGGGGGAAAATGAGGAGCTGATACCAAGGGCTAAAGTAGAAAGAAAATGTTTTGAGAATGATGATGGCAACAAATGTACAAATGCTTGACACATGGATGGACGGATGGATGGATTGTGAGAAGAGTTGTATGAACCCCCAATAAAATGATTTTTTTTAAAAAGACCCTTCTATTAATAGATTCTGTAACTTAAGAGCTTAAAAGGAAGAAATCCACTGCTGATGATTGATTTCAACTCATAAGCAGTTATATAGGACAGAGTAGAGCTGCTCCCTAGGGTTTGCAAGGCTGCAAATCTTCATGGAAGCAGACTGCCACGTTTCTCTCCCATGGAGGAGCTGGTTGGGTTCCAAGCTCTGACTTTTGTTCCCAAACACTGACCTTTCAATTAAGTCAAGAACTTTAAACACTGTACCACTAGGGTACCTCAAATAAGATATAGAATCCAGTCATGATATACTAATGCAGTCACTAGAGTTATTTGCAAAATCACTGAATACATGGGGTGACAGGATATATGCAAAAGTACTCAATCAAACTTATAATTATCAATTGTCTTTGTAATGAAACAATGATCAGATCCTTATAATTACAGTCAGTTTTCAATTGCTGAAAATTTAAAGTTTCTAGACAATAATAACTCTTTCAAAATAGTAGTTAACCAGTACACCTTTCCCCCCCCACTTACCTATGCAATTCTTTAACAGTGGATCAATAGGTTGTGGATGATCAGAAATTGTAAATTTAACAGCTGTAACCACTGAGCTTCGGGCATACGAGGAGCCTAATTAAAAATAAATCACAAGTCTCTTGGTATGTAAACAAACAAACAAAAAGCTTCATTCAAACCCTAAAAATTCTCTTTGGCCATGAAGGGCATTCCTTCTTATTGCTCTTGGGGCACAGAAGAAACAAAGTTGACCAAACTTGGGAAAGAAAGAACTCCATCAGATTTCAAAAGAACTAACGTCCTCCGAGAAGAGAGACAAAAGGAGCAGCAGAGCAGCTACTCCCCACAAGAGGTAAAATGATAATGTGATCACAGAAATTTTGCTAAAACTGAGAGCAAGTGCTAAAACTGAATGTCCATAATTTCCTGCTATTTGATCAAAAGACAGCTAAACATCTGAAGACTCTTCTAGGAACCTGCATTTAAATTAACTTCATTCAACAATTTAAAAATGTAAGGTGTAACAAGCTCCTAATTTAAGAGATATTTATTTTTTAAGACCAAATAGTAACATTAAAATAAGACCTTACAAATTAGAACAGATTTATTTATCAACTTAAACCCAATTCTATTTAACAAATGTCATTTACATAAGGCTCCATATCATAATATAGTAGTAACTTTTCATTATATACCATATATAATCATGTATAAGCCAAGTTTTCATGCACATTTTTAATGTAATTTTTTGTGGTAAAATTAGGTGCATCAGCTGATATTCAGGTCAGTGTATACTTGAGTATATATGGCACTCAGCTTCCACATGTAACAAAATACAGTCATATTCTAATTTCATTAGGCACCAATCAAGGCAATAAACTGTCAGTAAAACAAAATTCTTTACATCAGAAAAGCTGAGTACCCACCTGATATCAAGTAACCCTTAAGCCGTGGCAGGAGTGTTTCTGGATCAATCAGAGTGAGCTTGCCGAGACATTCAGCAACAACATTTCTAGTTCCTTCTTCTGCACATTCACAGTGCTTTAGCAGTAAGGCCCAGATATTTTCGACATAGGGTTTCAGGCCTACCACTGATGCAGAGCTAATGATCTCCTTCAATGAATGAAGCAAAAGATACTGCCTCTTAGGTTGACTGGTTATTTCTTGTAAGACAAATGGCAGATACTCAGGAAGGTTGCCCACACTAATGCTGCCTAATGCATAGGATGCAGCCGATTTAACTTCTTCACTAGGAGATGAGAAAGCTTCTAAGATTACAGATTTCAGTTCCAGTTGCCCACTTAAGTCAATATGATGTCCAACTTCTCCCAGAGAGAGCAGAGCTAAAAGACGAATGGAATCCGTAGACCTCGAGTTCTTGACATCTTGAATAAACTGACCTACTACAGCTGGCCCCTCTTTAGGACAAGCTCGAGTAAGGGCAGCTACACATTTGGCAATGGAATAATACGACTGCTTGTGAGTAAGAGCTGTACTCTGAGAGTAAACTGGACCTGTCAGCATGCGCAGCAAATCCATGTAGCCTAGGTTATTTGTCCCAGTGACAACCAGAGCTTGGAAAAAGTCTAGCATGGCACTAAGAGCTCCTCCCTGCAACAAGGGTGATCTCACGAGTCCAATGAGTTCATTGAGAATGGATCCACTTATCTTTGAAAGGGAAGAGGGATACACTTTTGCCAAGGTGGTAAGAAAACTGATAGCCATCTGAGAAACATGCATATCACTTTCACTGATAAGGGGTGGGAGCTCATCTAGAACCGCATCAATCATGGCAGCTGTCAAGCTGTCGCTGTAGTTTTTAATGAGAATATCAAGGGCAGAAAGGGTACCCAGTTTCAAAGCTCTCTGGTTTTTCCTGAGAAATGAAGCAAGGATAGGAACCCCTTCTCCCAAGACAGGCCTCAAATCTATCTTCAAAGGTGAGCCAGCAATCAGAGTCAATGCTTTTACTGTAGTTAATCGGGTAATCTCATTCTTTAGTCTCTCCAAGAAAATCTGAAGTGTGTTAGGCAAGTCAGAACCCAAATTGTCTCCTAGGTTGCAAATAATTTGTCCCATACAGGAAATAGCCCTTTCCTTGACCTCCTGATCAATGTCAGCTGCTTTTAACCTCTTAATGGTACAGGTAAATAAATCTTTGATGTAAGGAGTTGCTTCAAAGGAGGAAGGCTGATCTAAAGGACGGATGACTTTGACAAGCTGTTGTGTAACAAGAAGTGCTTCTGATGTAATCTTGTAAAATGGGTCTCCAACGCAAGCCACCACCGGAGGGACCACAGCCGGAACGTGAGGGTGGAAGACTTGAGGGGCGTGGTTACAGAGAACTACATGCAGGCAGGACAAAGCATCGATCTTCAAGTTCGATGAGCTTGATTTATCATTCAATGAGAAAATGATTCCTAAAATGCCAAACAAAAGAATCCCAATCACGTCTGTGCATATTCAAAGACAAGCCATCAAATTCTGCTAAGCTTCCACCTTCTAAAAGCCTGCAACAGTAAAAATTCTTCAAATCATAATCACCATCAGAGAAACAATTTTTAAACTTTTACTTGAAAGTGTCTATTTCAGGAGCTCAAGTAGATTAAAAAGTTAATTCCATTAGGGAACTCCCAAAAGTTCTTAGAAAAACGGAATTAAAAGATTAGGAAGATTTCCAGGAACTTTTTAAAGACCCCTTGTATGTGCAGACAGAAATTGCGAACAAACTTTCCTTTTGAAGAAAACAATTATTTCAAACTTAGATAAGGCTTAGTAAAAGAAAAAAAAAATCTATAACCAGCCCCCAAAGGAATTTATTATTACTCTCATACCTGGTACAAGTACAGGAATGTGTTGCGTTAGAGCCCCAGGCAATACATTTACCAGTTCGGTTAACATGTTAAAACAGCACTGTCGGGTCTTCACACTTTTTTCTTTCATCTGCTTGTGAAGAGCTTTAACAATGTTAGGAACCTGCAATTAATTACCACATACTCATTAGTTGGTTGGCACTAGTATTTCCCACAATATATTAAACATGAATTTGGGGGGAGGGGAGAAAGGGAAGAATGTATTTTTATAAATTAACTTCATAACCTCAGCTATGAACTGTTACTGCTAATGAGAACATGTGAACAAAGTTTGCTGTATGTTATTAACTGCTCTCTTATATTTATTTGCTTGATACTGGCAATAGAAATCTAATTAAATAAGATATTATGATATCTAATAATCAATTAGATATTTTTAACTAAAATTGTAGGACATAATTTATAAATGGTACATTGGCAAAAATAGTGCAGAAAACCCTTAAAGAAGGGGAAAAAGACACATTATGGAAAAAGCAACCCTCAATAAGTTTTTTTTAACCCTAGTCTGATGTTTAAGTGAAATCATTCTTACATCTCATAATCTGTCAGTCAATCATACCAAGTAGGTATGCCTCAGATACAGAACTAAAAACTCCAAACCAAACTCACTCCCACTGAGTCGATTCTGAGTCATAATAAAGAGCAGAACTGCCCCTGTGGAGTTCTGAGGCTAGAGCTCTGAACAAGACCGCTTAGCAGTCTCTTCTGTGGAGCAAGCTGGTGGGTTTCAACTAATGGCCTTGCAATTGGCAGCCCCAAGAGTAACCCACTATACCACCAGGGCTCATAGGGTATAAAAAAAGCTTAGAAAATTCTTCAATAGAGCAAAGGCAGAGATTTTTAAAAAATACACAGATTTAAACCACAATTGAACAATGATCTAAAAACTACACACAAAAGCAAACACCTAATTTACCATAAGATCATCAAAACTTCCACACTATTTACTGCTCTAAATGTTATCAGCAGTTTCCATACACTAATTTAATACCTTATGTCATCATATACTCTACCTCACTTCCTCCTACAATTAATGTTAACTGTTATGACTAGGTTTATCACTGCACTACTTAAACAGTATATTATATAGATCAGTGGCTCTCAACCTGTGGGTCCCGACCTTTCACAAAGGTTGCCTAATGCATCCTGCATATTAGATATTGCATTACAATTCATAACAGTAGCACACTTACAGTTATGAAGTAGCAACGGAAATAATTTTATGGTTGGGGGGAGGGATCACCACAACATGAGGAACTGTATTAAAGGGTCATGGCATTAGGAAGGTTGAGAACCACTGCTATAGATGTTCTTGCTCCCATAGTTTAAACACTTAGTCCCTCTCAACTGTTGCATAATCTCTAAAAAGGAATACACAGTATGTAGCCTATAGGAATGCTACAGAAAATACAAATGAAATAAAAAAATCCCAACCACATACAAAATAGTCAACAAACAGGAGTTTTTAAGCTGTTATGTTCAGGAGCTTGGGGAAAGTGTCTTATAATACAATAATTTATTAGTAACAAGAACTGGCACATATCACACATTACCTGTATGGTAGGCACTACACTAAATACTCTCTGCCCACATCCCTTCTGGCCACAGGCAAGGGACTTAAGCAGTTTCACTATTTTAACAAACCTGACTGTGGTGGATCAAACTATGGTATATTAAGATACTTGGTCAGTTGACCATCTTGACCCAACCTAAATTTGATCTAGGCTTAAAAATTTCTTGCATGTTCCATGACAGAAATATCTTCTCTGGCTTTTAAAATTTTGTTGGTGCGCTTTTCTTTTTATAATCTTTATATTATTATTATTATCTTTACATCTTTAAATTACTGACTTTCTTCTTCATACTTCATTTTGTTTTTATTTTTTATTCTTATGTTAGGTTTTCCAGTTTATGAAACACAGAAGGAATGGATGAAAGGGGTGGGGGCGGGGAGGGGGAGGGAAATGGATGGCAAACAATGAATGAAATGGCAAACGATGCCATTTCTATGTAAATTCTTCGGACAAATGAATTTAATGCGGTTTAGGGGGAAAAGTTTCTATAGACTAGGCCATTATGCAAAAGTGGGGGATGATCACCTCAGACCACAAAATAGAGTAGCTGTATCATTTACATAACTGCCAAGCCACTGTCAATCACATTTGTTACTCCCAGATATGTGTTGTCAATGCACGTAATAGACTGGCATAAATTTTTGTTTTTTACTATTTCAGTGTGAAATGTCAGGTGATATAGCTAATAAATGAGTAGAGATGGTCTATCTCTCCAGCTCTATGCTTTCTCCACTAAGGTTATATATCAAAGTATAATTTACAATAAAATCACATTGATTATCTTGACTTTCTAACTATAAATCTAAACAAACCTGACTCTGAAGCATTGTCAAAGGTGTCTCTCCTTGTTCCATGGCATCAGGGTCACAAAGCCAGCTTTGCACAGGACGAGTTTGCTTTAAAAGGGAAAGGTATGCATGGAAAACATCTGCCTTTACGTTCTCTTCCCGCTCTTTAAATCTGGATATTAATGCTGGAGAAACGGTCTTGTAGAATTCTGGAAGCATTTCATGTCTTGTGCTAACGACAGCATCCAAGCACTTAGCAGCTGCACGTCTCACTTTCCAACTCATGTCATCATCATCACTGTATTCATCATCACTCCCTAAAGAAAAGTTTCATTAGTTAACCATAAGGAAAGTATATATTAAGAGAGAGATACTGCATGATTAGTTTTCTAGAAGGAAAAAGAAATCTATTCATTTGATTTATGACTAACGTGTTTCACTGAATTTGTTGAAGGGCTCTTAGGAACAAATATGAAGACTGCATACACTCATGTATAAGCCAAGTTTTTCAGCACATTTTAAATGCCGTTTTTGTGGTAAAATTAGGTGCCTCAGCTGATATTCGAGTCGGCTTATACTCGACTATAAACGGGTTCCAAGATTTTATCTTAATTTTAACAAGTCTTCCCATTTGATAACACAGCAATCTTCTCCAACCTCTTTTATGCTAAACCTTAAGCAATACACCAAGTATACGCAGTTAAGAATTGCATCTCATTTATAATTTAGTAGATAGGTCACTTTTTGGAGTGCGAAATTTGTAGAAATTATCTCCTTCTAATACCATCATCAGTGAAGTAGTTGGGTAGCATAGTCAGGAAGATGGCAAAAATACTAGTGGTTCTCAGGAAAAAACCAACAACTACCGAACACTTTTGTTATTATTAGCTAAGGCTAAAATAAAATCTAGAGAGAACCGGGTGTTGGAGTGACGGCATGGGACAATGTCATCTCTTTACTGGTTTACATGCCAACTGATTTTTCTCCATCTGTCTCCTCACACCCACTTTGCTATGAAGTCATTTCCAACTCATGGTGATCACATGTACTTCAGCAGAGTACTGTACCCAATAGGCTTTTAAATGGTGGCTTTTCCATATTAGATCACCAGGCCTCCTTCCAAACCTCTAGTACAGTGGTTCTCAACCTTCCTAATGCCGTGACCCTTTAATACAGTTCCTCATGTTGTGGTGACCCCAACCATCAAATTATTTATGTTGCTACTTCATAACTAATTTTACTACTGTTATGAGGTGACCTGTGAAAGGACCCCCTTTGGGGGTTGCAACCCACAGGTTGAGAACCGCTGCTCTAGGTGAACTTGAATCATTCTAATATTTCAGTTTAATCAACCATAGTAACCATATGGACCACTCAGACTTCCTCCGTTAGCTTAGCAAGAATAAAACATAGCCAGTCAATATCAGCCTAATAAAATTCAATGTTTTAATCTCCAAAAGATTTACTTAATTTTGACTAAGTCCATCATAGGAAAACCCAAGCAAATACTACTCAACCGAAGACATAAGATTCATTTACAAAAACCCACTTTCAATAGAAGTTGGGAAGTACAGTCAAAGCAGGCCATCTTAAAAAAAAAAAGCCATCTACTTAAAAGGAAATCAAAGTTTTAATGTAACAATAAACTAAGATATTGGATTCTAGAAGTGCAGGTCCTAAACACTGAAAATAGCTCATTAAAGGATTTGTGTTAACACCATAGACAGAAATAATATAATCAGTATAAGCCACATAACTAAGGGCTTACACAATGCTGAGAGTTATGCTAAGAGGATAGCCCCAGGTCGGAAATGTATGAGAGGAAAAGGAACGAGGTAAATCCCTAAAGTTTTTTGGTCCAAGGCAAGTAAGTAGAAGCACACTGCCATATACAGATCGAAATACCTACAGAAACAGGCTGAATGGAGGGGAGAGAACCTCAGAGAACGGATTTTTGACATTTAAGCAGCCACACGATCAGCTGGATAAATCTGGACTAACTCAACCTGAGAATAAGAGTGCTACAGTTAAGCGTCCATTGATTGAACTGTGGGATATATTTAAGTTTAGTGGTCAATGTTATTAATAACTGGACAAAAGACTGCGGAGAAGCAACAATGACAAGGCTAGGAACCAGGACAGTATGGTACCCTAGAAACCAATTAAGAATGAATAATGAAACACACAGGTCACTGGTCACCTTTTTCTATCATTAAACGAGGGGGTTCAAGAAAGAATGAGAAAATAAGCTGGAGTCTGCTCTTTTAAGGAGTTCTATTGCAGAGGAGAGAAACTAGACAGTAGCTACTATGGGGTCAGCAGAGGTTATCTTAGAGTTGTTTTCAGTCATTCTCATCGCTCTAACGGTGCAGATGCCATAGATAAATCTCTTCATTTAGAGAATCAAACCAACCACTTCCGTGAACCATCCCATTTGCCACAAGACAAGATTTATATGGTGCCTAGCTATGACCATCGAGGAGCCCTGGTAGTGCAGGTTACAAGCTGGGCTGTGATCCGCACGTTCAGCAGTTTGAAACTACCAGTGGCTCCACAGGACAAAGCCTGGACGTTCTACTCTTGTAACTGTTACAGTCTCCGAAGTCCACAAAGGGTTGCTTGCTATGAGTCAGCACTGACTCGATGGCAGTGACTGAGCGACTACCATTACTAAACACTTAGATGAAAGATTCTCTATGAGAATCCTATCAAAAGGAAGAAATGAAGAAAATCTCAAATATTCATGGAACCTAGACTTTCTGAAGCCAAGGACAGTAAACAGGTAACTAAAACTATTGCCATGAGATAATCTTTAAACCATAAAACAAAAGTATTCCAAGATATTTTCTAAAGCCAAACAAGAGTGTATGTAGCAGCTTTAACTAATAAAGAATGCCTTGGGCATCACATTCTTTTAAAGAACTATATGGGATCAAAGTGAAACATGGGGGTGAGTTTGTTATTAAGGGAGGAAAACCTCAGAAAACCATAGCTGCAGAACCCAAAAAATGTAATCACCACCAAATTAGATAGACAGCTTGTGTCTGTTTTGCAATGCACATTCTAAACAACATAAAGAATCAAACTAAAAAATACTGTCCACAACAGGAAGCCCACGTATGATATACATAGTAACTTACCCATTTAGAATAGATCTATTAAGATACTCCCAGTAAAAGTACAACCAACTAAACTTGTGTAGCCCCCTACTCCTTAAAGCACTGTTCCTTTTCCAGAAGAAAACACAAGCCACTGAATTATGACATCAATCTTAGCTTCACAAATAATGTAAAAGATACTCATAAAATGAACATCTATTTATAAGAGCAAGCTATTCGCTTTTTAAAATCAACAAACTGCTCTGTGTTATTTCACAGGTACAAATGGTTTTCATAGAACCATTCTGAGAAAATTTTAAGAACAAAATACATGTGCTGATCAAGAAAGAAATAGTGGCGTAATTTTTTCCTGTATAGTAAAAAGAAAAAAAGTAAATTGTATTGCCCACTTTTAATAAAAAAGGCATTTTCCACATCCTTAACTTTTGTTCCTAACATGTAGTTTTGAAAAGTGTTGTGCATAAAGCAAGACACTAGAGGGTAGACAAATATTAACTTCAGTGAAGGGCAAGATGAAGTTGTTGAATACAGCACTTATAATCATTTTTCTCTTTTTAAATAATTTTATTGGAGGCTCTTACAGCTCTTATATCC